AACAACAGCAACAACAACAACAACAACAACCACAACCACAACAACAACAACAACAACAACAGCAACAACAACGCTTTCTTTGTCTTTGTCCTATGTTAACAACAACCACAACAGCAACAACAAGAACAACAACAAAAACAGCAACAACAGCAACAACAACAACAACAACAACAACAACAGCTGCAACAACAACAACAACAATAACAAGTCTGACGTACTTTCTTTATCTTTGTGGAATGGACCACAGGCGGAAAACCTCGACATTTCCGACCGCCCCGTGACTCGCAACAAGCGTGGGTCGATGCCACAATGGCGGCACAGGACTGTAAGCACCGGCTGGCTGGCTTCGATTATCTATTCATTCTGGACGTAGACGAGTTCATTGTACCCCAGGACGCCAAACAACGGTCGTATCTCAAGATTTTGCAGGTTTGGAATATTGTGTTTATGTGTAGGTGGGAATGAGTTATTGTTGTTGTTGTTGTTGTAGTTATTGTTGTAATAGTTGTTGATACTTTCTTGTGCGTTTGTTTGATAGGTCAGTTGGTCGGTTGGTTGGTTGTTCGGTTGGTTGCTTGGTTGCTTAGTTGGTTGGTTGGTTGTTTGCGTGGTCGTATTGCATCGCAGCAAATTGATATTGAAACAACTGTCGATTTTCAAGATTTTGCAGGTTCATATATGTTAAGTGTACAACATATAGAGGCATCTCATTGTTACGTCACTCAGGAAAAATGTATGCCAAGATACTAGAGCAGCGCATAAGACCTATTGTAGAGAGAAATCTGAGCAAAGCTCAGTTTGGATTCCGAAAGGGAAGAGGATGCATGGATGCTGTATTCACATTACGACAGATATGCGAGAAAACAACCGAACACAACAAAGAATCCAACATCGTCTTTATAAACCAGGAGAAGGCCTTTGACAGAGTAAGCCATGCAAAACTCTGGAAGACACTTGGAAAGTATGGCGTCAGAGGACAATTGTTAGATAATGTCAGAGCTCTATATACCAACAGCAGAAGCTCAGTAAGAACGAAGGAAGGCAATACAGACAGGTTCAAAGTAAGATCTGGAGTACCACAGGGATGCGTTCTATCTCCCCTCCTGTTTATAATATATACGGACACAATAACGCAAGAAGCAAACCAAAGCCCAGAAAGCCTAAATGGATTTCTGTTCGCAGACGACCAATGTCTTATTCATCATGACCAACAAAGGCTCC